AAAACCTAAGCTACATTTTGATAAAATTTTATGTATAGTTATTATGTGTAGTTTTGCGCAATCAGTAAAAACAGGTGACCGAAAACTTTTGTCCAGGGTGTGTATATACAAGTAAAAAAAAAGTACCTCTGGTTAGTTATTAACACGTCTTCTTTAGGAGACCCAAACCAAACCAAACCAGACAATAACGTTCACGTTTTGTCACCTTGGACTCTGTCAGAAAATAAATTGTTTTTCCAAGAAAGAAAAAAAAATCAATTCGCGTCTGTCCTACCAAAAAAAAAACCAATAGGATAAATAATTAGCGTGTACATGTCGATCAAATCACAATCTTTTCTTTTGATTAAAATAAAAAATGCGCAAAACGCAAGAACCAAAGCCAACAATTGTGAAGAAGCGACAAGATCCGAGTAAGTTTTTTAAGGATGGTGGTGGTGGTTATCACCCGCCACCCGTCGTCACTCTAGTTTTATAATAAATTGATTGTTGTAAGAGAAACGATGGCACTATTAAAACATTTTGATATTTAAATCTGTATATGATGAGGTAATTTCATTATTGTCTATTTTTTATCATTAATAACAAAAATTTATTGCAATCATATCATAATCTAAATTTTTTTAAAAAAAGTTACTGAATGACGTTGAGGATAATAACAATCACGAAATTCCAATTACAATCACTTCCAACTCACCTACTACGCCTACTACACTAATATCTACTAATACACCTTCTACACCTTCTACACCTACTGCCACATCTGCTACACCTATTGCTACACATACTACATCTACTGCTATACCTACTACACTAATATCTACTAATACACCTGTTATACATACTACACTAATATCTACTGCTACACCTACTATGTTAATATCTACTACTACACCTACTACACCATTAGAAGATGAAGATGAAAGATATTCGGTGTTATTAGATGATGATTTAGTAATAGTTGAAGAATTACAGGGACCATGGGCTTCGCGTGAATACACAGTTTTATTAGATTTTATGTTTAGAAAAAATTTAAATTGTAGATATCTAAGAAGAACAAAAAAAATTACATCGTTCACATGAAAATATTGCTTCAACATGGAGAGAAATGAAAAGAGAAATAAAAATATATTACAGTGCACAATTTTAAATTTATTGAGTTAATGGATATTAAACATCTTATATAAATAATTCAAATAAAAATTTAATGGTAAAAGTAAAAGAAATGAAAGAAAGAGCAAACCAAGTATGATTTAATACTTTTGAACTTGAAAATAATTTTTATATAGAGGTAATTCTATATATCAAGAGGAAAATTTTAATAATCACATTACTAAATTTTGATCCCTGAAATCTTTGATAATACCAATGTTCACTTTGTCTGGTTTTGTTGCAGTATGCCCCAAATAAAAGGTTATAAAATCCACATGATGCAATTGCATATTCCAAACCGTTTGATAAATTGTTTTATCTTTAATGAAACTATAGAATTATAATTATGTTGCTTTTTAATTTTCTTTCTTATATACTAGTGTTTTAGGGGATTTTCTAATTGGAACACTTATTCACATCTGGGTTTCCAAATATGTTTCATATAAGCCCAATCATTTTTTTTTAACATGTCCTAGCATTTCATTGCAAAGTAGGGTTTCTATTTGAATAAGGTTCACTCAAATGATTCAAATGATTCGTAATTGATTTTGAGCATTCAAATCACATTGAATGATTATTCAAACCAAATGAATTCCTTGTGTAGCAAATTTAAAGTTTCACTCGGAAGTTAATGATTTAGATGAATATGATAGTTACAATTATGACTTTGGAAATGATTCAGAATCTAATAAAAAAGAAAAGTCGAAGAAAAAGGAAAAAACAATCAAGTCATATCAGCAGGGCTTCTATTTGAATAAAACAAACCCAAGTCCAAAATTGTACTATTACTATTACTATTACAAAGCGGTCTTTGTAGGACAAGCAATTCTAAAAAAAAATCTCATGCAAAACATTTTGATCTTTGTTGAATAAATTGAACAAGAACAGAGTATATGGACATTCAATATGACATAGTATAACCCTCATAGATTGTATTGTATAAGTGTTAATAAAATGGTTATATATCATACCACACCAATGCTTAAATCCAACATAAAGGATTCAATATAAAATTCTGTGTGATTAGTATGGCAATACAATACCATCTACAAGGGTTATACCTACTGAATCTCTCCTTACTGACAAGGACACTACATCCTCCACTTTCATAACGAAAATAACAATAATGATAATAATTGCAGGTAGTAAATATGCTTGCTATTTTTTTAAAAATATACAAAAGGCTACTTAAAAAATTTTATTAATTTTTGATAAATAAATAAATATTCATTAAACTTCGTCACTTTTTTTTGACTCTTTTTTTAATTCTTTTTTTAATTCTTTTTTTAAATTCTTTTTTGAATCCTTTTTTGAATC